CGAAGAGGTCTCATCGCTTGATTCGGAAGACTCTGGTGATGAAGATGTGTTCTGTGCTTTAATGACGGTCAGATGGTGAAGTTGATGGCGGGATTTGTGGCTGAAACTGATGAAGGTTGAAGATGAGGGGAAAATTAACGCCATTTTCTGTTTAGTTCGTTAAGCCACCATTTTTGCAGGTGATTTTACAGACTTTTCTTATTTTCCTTTTTCCTCCTTGTAGCTTTGTAACATGCGTTTTATATCCTTCTACTTTTTGAGGTTTTATCTACTTTTATAAGTAATAAAACCTCAAAAGGAATTGGCTTTAACAAAAAACACTATTTTATGAGGAGTTTGGAGAGCTAGGAACACTCTTGTCTTTAACAAATTTCACTCCTCCCCAACTAAGATGTTTGAAGACATAAAAGCATTAACTTTCTTGTGGGTTAAAAATAAAAGGAATGAAGTTCATATGAACCGTGAATCTTGATGTGTTTTCCTTTTGGTTGTCATGTAATTTGGTTTCCTATGTATTGTATTTTGTTTGCTTTCTTTTGCATCTAACCTCTTGCCAGAGGTTTAATAATAGTTTTGTCGTTAAAAAAATCTATTTTTATAAGGTCTTCGTAGACAATATTAGATGAAACTCTGACTCGATGCTTTAATTAGTCTTCTTGATTAATACTCCTAATCCATTGGTTGATTTAGTTGTTCATGGAAGGATAGTAGAAGAGACTCGTCTTAAATCTTAGGTCAACAAAAGAATCTAAACCATCTACTTCCCTTATTATTTTTGTTGTCCTACAATGATCTCCAACTACAAACCGCAACATACCATCTTCTAAAGTTTCTTATGATGAATGTGATTATGCAACAAAAGAACCATTGGAAATCCAAGTGTTCATTATTTCTTAACAAACGACGACAACCCGCCATAACAAAAACATACTATCTGAACCATTTCAGCTACCTCCTTCGGGTCCCACTCCATGGTCACCTTGTCTACCTCACTTTAACACTACAATTGTTGCACCTTTACTAAAGCATGTTGTTAATACTATCAATCCACCACTATGTCATCATTTGTTTTAGATCCTTAGGTTTTTTTAGCATAAATAGTTCCTTGCTTTCCGGTCCCTTGTCATGTCATCGACCTCACATATAGATTCGTCTTCTACTATTTCAAATATACCTTCCTCCTTATGGATCTTAGATGTAGGTATATATCACCATATGTCGCCTTACTTTTCATTATTTGTCTCATTGTCTCTTGGTTTTCTTGTATCTATTATGACTCTCATTGGTACATCTATGTCATTAGAGGGTGTTGGTTATGTTATTACTTCTTCTAAAATCCTCATAATATTTTATGTTGTTATTATATTCCCAAACTTTATTTAAAAATTGTTTTAGTTAGTCAACTATCTTTGTCTAAATCCGAGTTTGAGTTTTCTTTTATGATTCTCTTTGTTGTGTCCATGACACGTGATCTTAAAAGGTGAGTGAGACTAGTCTTAGGCTAGGAAAGTATTTTGATGGGTGTTCATTCAAGTATTGACTTGTCTTCTTTTTGTTTGAGTTACTTGTATTTTGAATTTTATGTATGGCATTCTTGTTTAGGATATGTATAAATGTCACATTTACAGTTCTCAAGAGCTTTATGTCATGGATGTATTTAATATATTTGATGTTGTTACTTATAGTGTTGATTTGTCTTCTTTTTCCGTTTAAGTCTTTTGTATTTTGATTTTTATCTATGACATTGTAACATCCTTATTCCCGGTATGTAATTTATTCTGGCTTTATTCAGCTTAATTCGCAAAAATCTAAAAATCGAAGAATCTGGAATTAATCGGGTTGGACACGACAAGTCTCTTAAGGGTGCGACGCGCCTGACCCATGGGCTGAACGTTTTTTTATGGTTTTGGGGCTATTTAAAAACCTTTAACTCTCTAGGTTTGGATCATTTGCAACCTCCAACGTCCGTAGAGAGAGTCTCTAGAAACCTTAGTCCCATTTTCTCTCATTTTGAGCCTTGTTTCACCTTGAGAACTTATCTTCCTTTTGTTTGTGCTTGAAGCTTGAAGATCAAGATTTCTTTCGGTGCATTGAAGCGAAGAGAAAGTGTAGATCCAACAAGGTTGCACCTTTCTTGGACCTTTGTGAGGTATAAAGCTTCAAGCTTCCCTCTTAGTTTACTAGATCTTGCTTATTCTAATTTTTATGCACTTTTGGTCCTTTTTTGGTAGTGAGATTGGAGTTGAGATGACTCCAACTTCTTTTGAGTACTTAGGATTGTTCTATGGACCTTTTGGACTTGGAAAATTGGTGTTTTGTGCATGTCCTCTAAGCCATGCAAGATGTGTTGGCTTTTTAGGTCATTTTAGTGCATAAAGTTTAGATCTTGCTTAATTGGGGTGTCTTAATGAGTAAAGTTGGAAACTTTATCCATTAAGACCATGCTAAGGATCATATTTGGACGTATGGGTTCTTAACTTAATGGATTAAGTCTTTTCACCTTGTGAAGAAGGTCTGGACGCGGCACACTTTTTAGGGTTTTCTAAGGCGTGTTTGTTTTAGCCTGAGATCCTGACCTTTTTGTCATTTTGTGGATGCGGGACACCCAAAAGATGGTGTGGCGCGCTCATTGACCAACATGTTGACTTGTTGACTTTTTGACTAAGTTTAACCTTGGATCAAACTTTAGGGTTTTAGGTCATAGCTGAGGTTGTCCCTTTTTTTATTTATTATCTAGGTGATGTGTGAGACTGGTATGTTATTGTTCGCATGCTGTGGTGATTACGCGGTCTATGTACGGGGTGAATTTTCTCACTATACTTATACTACAATATGGATCATCTGTATGCTAAGATGTTAGACATGTAGACTTGTTTAGACAGTTGCTTGTCATTGTTGGTTTGTTTGTTTGTCTGTTTGTGTATTTATATATGTCGACATATTATGAGCGAGTTGAGGGCGGTTCAGCCTTGTGCTAAAGGCCAAGAAACTCCGAGCGAGGCCATTACTTGTATGCATTGTATGTATATTGTTGTGTATAATATTTTGGGGAACTCGCTGAGCTTTGGCTTACAGTTGTGGATTAAATGTTTCAGATACTTCAGATGATCGCGGGAAGACGAAGACTTGACTGTATACACTCATCAACATATTTAGTATTGTGTGATTTCGCGTTTGTTATAATACTCTGATTTTTGGATGATTGTTTTTTGTAACAAATGATTTTAATTGACTTCGGGTTTATGAAAATTGTATTTTATCTTAATTAAAAATCAAAAAATTTATTGTGTAAAATGGGACGTTATAAAATTAATCCCACATAAACCATCAAAAAAGGTAAAAGAATAAAATCTAAATGACTACATTTTCAAATAATAATAATAATAATAATAAAAATCATAACCTAACCATCCATTTTTAACATTATATTTCACAAATTTAATTATTTTTCATGAAAAAATTGTGCCGTGAAATTTAACATTTTATGAAGTTGGGTAAAATGAGTATGTTTTAAAAATGTAAATAAATTTGGATGTAATAATACAAGTTAAGGTTTATAACGTGTCAATATAGTGTCATCAATGTAACTAATTTTTTGATATGAGAGAAGTGGAAGGATTCGACGATTGGTTTCCATCATATGAGATAGTTAGATGAAGAGAGTTTAATCGTTTGCATATCAAGGAGAGTGGGAAAAGATTAACAATAGCTATAGGAAAGTGATGGATCTTTTAGGGTGATACCATATAAAATTGGGAATATGACTTATTAAGGTAATTAACTTTTCGGTATGTTCACATCTGGGTAACTATCTTTTTTTTTTGTACACATCTAGGTAACAAATTTGTTGGAAGTGTTCACATATAACCATTATGACCTGCTATAGCAGGTTAAATCCTAGATGTGAACGCTTTCAACAAGTTCGTAACCTAGATGTGTACAAAAAAATAGTTACCCAAATATGAACAAAACGAAAAGTAAAAATTAAATTACACGAATGGTCCCTGTGGTTGGGGGAATTTGTGTTTTTGGTCTCTAACTTATTCTTTTAACTTGGATGGTTCCTACTGTTTATTTTTGTTGCGCGTTTGGTCACTGTCTTACCTAAAAAGACTATTGTGCCCTTATTAATTTATTTTTTAATTAATTTTCTTACTTATGCATTTATTTTTACATATTTAAAAAAATTAATAGACCCCACATATTTGTATCTCCTCGGATGATCTCTACTGTTTATTTTTTAATTAATTTATTTTTTTAACTCGGATGGTCCCTACTGTTTATTTTTGTTACACGTTTGGTCCCTGTCTTACCTAAAAAGACTATCAAACGGCCCCTAAGATTACCTAAAAGTAAAAATTAAATTGTACGAATGATATGTGGGGTATATTAATTTTTTAAATATATAAAAAATAAATACATAAATAAGAAAATTAATTAAAAAATAAATTAATAAGGGCAAAATAGTCTTTTTAGGTAAGACAGTGACCAAACGCGCAACAAAAATAAACAGTAGGGACTATCCAAGTTAAAAAAATAAGTTAGGGACAAAAACACAAATTCCCCCAAACCATAGGGACCATTCGTCTAATTTAATTTTACTTTTCGTTTTGTTCATATTTAGGTAACTATTTTTTTTGTACACATCTAGGTAACGAACTTGCTGGAAGCGTTCACATCTAGGATTTTACCTGCTATAGCAGGTCATAATGGTCATATGTGAACACTTCCAACAATTTTGTTACGTAGATGTGTATAAAAAAAAATAGTTACCCAGACGTGAACATACCGAAAAGTTAATTACCTTAACAAGTCATATTCCCTATAAAATTTGATAAAAATCACCACAATTCTGGATGATATTTCATTATAAAATCAAGAGTTACATTAAAATAGGAAAGTATATCTACGTAACTAAATCTAACAAATCCCTAAATTTGTATAAAAATCCTTAATAAGATTCCTGGCTTAGTGGATGATGGATGTAAGATATGGGTTCGAATCTTTCCAAATTATTTTTTACACATGAAGTTAGTTCACTATTCTTTACTTTCAAGTGACCAGTCTAACTACCATCCTTTCGGACAGAACTCCATGGGAGCCCTAGATATTTTATCATGTTAATCTGCAATATCCATTGATGGAAATCCAGTTCTATCTCCATGGCGATACTTGTCTACCCTTGCATCCCAACTGCGTTGTTCTTGCAAAATCGTCCTCAATCAGCTCCACTAACTCCCGTCCGGTGTTCTTCTTCAGCCACCGTTAAACTGCCCACTTCTAAGGCAATAACAAGTTCCAATGGCGGAAAAAGCACCGGCGCTGCAGTTCTTTGGTACAAGAATGATCTTCGTGTCGATGATCATCCAGGTTTAATTGCTGCCTCGAAGCATACGGTGGTTGTTCCTCTTTATGTCTTCGATCACCGGATTCTTCGCTGTGAGTGCCTCTAGCTTTCTTAAACCGATTCTTCGCGTTTCATACACTATCACTAGTCTTCCCATTGAAGAATAGTGATGCAATTTAGTATTTGAAGTTCCAGTTCAACGATACGAACTTTTGGAGAATAATTTGATGGTTGTAGCAATCAAAGTGGTGCATATACTGTATGATAGTATTATACACAATATTTTGATGCATTGGTTCTCGTTTTACCAACTGCAGGCTTCACTGAGGAAAAGCTTGAGCTGCTCCTCTTTGCTGTGAAAGATCTGAGAAACTCATTGAAGGATCTGGGATCTGATCTGATGATCAGGTTCGGGAGGACAGAATCTGTAATCCAAGATCTTGTAAAAGAGGTTGTTGCCTTAAGGTTTGCTTGCTAAGAATTTTTTAGATTGAACAAGAAAAGGGGCAGCTTTCATTACCCAAACAACTCATAATTAATTCATCACCTAGGGTTGAAACAGGTCAGAGCTGCAAACATTTACACACAAGAAGAGGTGGAATATGACTTACAGTTGGTAATTGAGAAGGTTAATGAAAACTTGGGAGACATAAAGAGCCCTAAAATATCTCTATGGAATACCCCCTTTTATGATATCAAGGTATATCTTTCACTTCATCAGTACTAGTTTGCAAACTTTGCATTTTGGATTATGCTGATTTAATCTAAATCTTTCCAGAACATTATGGACATCCCATTGTCATATGACGAGTTTCAACAATTAAAATTGTCCATACATTCACCTCTTTCATCACCAAAGTTACCTAGCATAGCAACAGATTTAGCCTGGGGTAAGTATTAAGTAATATGGTTCCTATATGAGAAAGTAACTGTATTTAATTTGTTGTTTTGATATTGAAATTGTATTTGCTTCATGATCCAGGTGCTCTACCAACACTGAATGATTTGAAGGAATTCATAGATGAGAATCCATACAAATCAAAAGATAGCTGGACTTCCATCAAGAACAATTCAGCCGAATACGTAATGCAGAATGCTAGGATTCTTGCATCAAATGGTCTGACTAGTCAAACCAATTTGATACCCCTTACTAAGAGTAACCAGAAGAGAATAAAAAACTCAGCATTTATAACACAACAAGGAAATGTTATTGGAGGTGGAACAAATGATGTGCTTAATGCATTGTCAGCATATCTAAAATATTTAGAGGGTACTACACGCGATGATTGGCAGGAGTATGTATCATTCTTTGCCTGGATCTTTATGTAATTTTAGATTTTAAATAACTGTTTTTTTATATATATTATTGCAGGGTGCATGACAAATTAAGCAAGGCTGAAACCCGTGAAGGAGCTTCATTTGGTGTTCTTTTTGGACCTGTCCTTCAGCTTGGAATAGTTTCTAGAAGAAGAGTGTATTATGAGACTCTAAAATATGAAAAAGACAGAAATGGTGGATTTCTGTCACCCTTTGGGTACTCAACTGCCACCATTGCTGCAGCAGCTGGGCATGTTCTCTCAACAGAGGTGCGTTTTTTTCCACTATTGCCCTCTATCTTGATGAATCTTATTCCAAATTTGTGACTTTTTTTGGCAGTGGTATAGTCTTTTGGCATCAAGAAGTCAACTTGATTCAACTAAAAGATATTCTATTCGGTACTGGAAGTGGAATGGTTATCTAATACAGGCCAGTTTAAAAAACTAATCTTTAAACTTTCTATACAGAATTTGATTTCAAATTACTCATGGGATTTTCTTGTTTTTTTTTTTTTTTTCTTTTCAGTATACTGTTGTGGGAAGTGAAGGTCCTGCAATTCTTCTTGTGCATGGTTTTGGTGCTTTTTTGGAGCATTATCGTGATAATATTAAGAATATAGCTGAAAATGGCAACCGTGTTTGGGCTATTACACTTTTGGGATTTGGAAGATCAGAGAAACCAAATGTTATATACACTGAACTTATGTGGGCTGAGTTTATAAGAGATTTTATAGTTGAAGTTATTCGGGAACCAGTTCATCTTGTTGGGAACTCATTCGGAGGTTTTTTTTTTCTCAATCTTTTTATAAACTTTTCTTTTTTAATTCTATAAATTATAATGATAATCTTTTTCTAATTGCCATGTGTACAGGCTATTTTGTATCTATTGTTGCTGGTTTATGGCCTGCTTTAGCTAAGTCTGTGGTTCTCTTGAATAGTGCTGGCCATTACATTCCAGAATATTCTTCTGTGCCTCCCTTTAAGGTAAATAATTAAATATATATAAGATAAAATCAGAGGTTTTTGTGGAATTAATATATTTATTTATTTGCTTTTCAGGAAAGGAAAACTACAGGAGTTGCATGGTTAGGTGCTAGGGGCATTTCGGGCTACCTAAAGTTGAGTGTTAGGAATTTAGTGAGGAGTTGCTACCCAACTGTAACTTTCTTGAAACCTTTTGTATCCATATAAAACTTTTTTCATTATGTTATGTTTTTTTTTATTGATTGCATTTTTTTTCTTTTTTTTTGCAGAAAAGGGATCGTGCTGATGAAGGGCTTCTCAGTGAGATGGTAAGGGCAGTATCCTTTAAGGCCATATTATATATATTTTTTAGAGTTTATAGTATATTTTTTGTAATATTGGTCCCAAAAAGTTCTCTGTTGCAATTGTGGTCCTTATTTTAGGTTTTTATAACATAAATGACTTGGAACATGGACCAAAAATGTTACAAAAACCTCAAATAAGGATCAAAATTGCAAATCACTACTCAGGGACCATAAATGTAACTTACTCTTTGTGTGCTTTTTTCTGACAAATTGTGGACTTATATTATACTTTAAGTTTTTGTGAATGTTGTAAATTGTGCGTTTCCTTAATGAAGAATAGTCATATGACCCTGGTGCAGTGGTGGTTTTGGAAAGCCTTTTTACATTTGATCCTTCAATTCCAATGAATTATGTGCTCAAAGGACTTGAGGAAAAAGTCATGATTATCCAGGGGATGAAAGACCCGATTTCTGATTCAAAAACCAAAGTAAATCTTGTCAAAAAACACTTCAAAGAAATTGAAATCAAGGAGTTAGATGCAGGACACTGTCCCCATGATGAGGTACCAGAAGAAGTCAACTCTATCATTCGGGAATGGGTGGTCAATGTTGAAAATAGATGTCAGATCTTGGAACAAAAATTCAAAGATAACAGAATGCCAACCAAAAAACAAAGTCTTGAAAAAGAGTTTAGTGGTCAAACCTCTTGAAAAAAAAGTTTTGAGGTACCTAAAATGGAACAATTATGAAAACTTGATTGGTATTTAATGACATTATCTCTTATTCTTTTGTGTTAGCATCACATCAGCCATTGAACAACACATCAAACCAAATGCTATGCAATGATTGGAATTAGTTGGTTTAGGAGTTGATTTATGCAATAAGTATTTAATAAATTATAAATGGTTTAATCATCAACCATAGGTGTAACATCCCAAATTTCAAGACCAAAATTTTCATTTTTAATTAAGTTATTATAAAACCAATTAGTATAGAAACATCCATAATAACATTCCATGTCAAAATCAAAGTGTCGATAATCAAAACATGTTAACATAAAACAATATTAGAGTGTAATCCCAAGGATCTCATATGCGGAAAACATAGTGTGATGCGATGCGATCGAATCGACTCCTTTCCTTTGAAAACGAAGTACCTGAAACCAAAACTGAAAACCGTAAGCACGAAGCTTAGTGAGTTCCCCCATCATACCACATACCATACAAATCACATACTGTCAGGCATACTGGGGTGCCCGACCTACCCCATGCCAGACATATTTGGGTGCCTGACCTACCCTGCTGAGCATATCGGGGTGCTCAACCTACCTCATTGTCAGGCATACCGGGGTGCCCGACCTACCCCATGTCAGACATATTTGGGTGCCCGACCTACCCTCCGGTGTATCTCAACAGGTTACGGGGACTATTTCATCCCCTACCACTACCACATAATAACATAACATAAACATACTGTTAGACATACCGGGGTGCCCGACCTACCCCTTTGGTCCTTTCGACCGGATATGGGGACTATTCCCCCTAGTACCACTATCACATGACATCATACCATACTAGCACATAAAGCATAACAGATAGTGGCATACCAGACAATTATCACAAAGACAATCATCTAACAAACAACTCCTACTAGTGGGCCAACATTGTGGCCTTAGACCCACTTCTACTGGAATGTAACTCACCTCGAATGCTGAAGCTCGCTGCCCGAACTCCCTAGCTGCTGCCCTAACGGCTTCCCAAGCTAACAATTACCAATACACAATCCAATTAGCAACTAAGTTCTAAACCATGATCCATAATCCAAATCTTAGGGTAAAATGACCATTTTACCCATGGCCCAACAAGACTCATAACTAAGGCCTAAGCCCAAAACCAATCAAGTCCAAAACTCCAAAATCCATAAGAGCCCACTAATGGCCCACTATTGGCCCAATTTTCCAAATTGGGCCCCAACCTTTACATGGAACTACCCTCTAGCATCCAATCCGAACTTCATAACCCTCTAAGGGTCAACCTTGGTCAAAGTCAACGTCAAAGTCAACATTCTGGTTGACTCAATTCACCGAGTTGGTCCATCAACTCGTCGAGTTCCTGATCCATGAAACTCTGGAAACCTCGATCCTGCTCGTCGAGTTCTTTCATGAACTCGTCGAGTTCCCTTTCAAACCGAGTCGGGACATTTTACTCCCAACTCGTCGAGTTCCTCCTTGGACTCGTCGAGTTCTCCTTCAAACCGAGTCGGGACAAACCGGAACAACTCGTCGAGTTCTTCCTTGCACTCGACGAGTTCCTCAGTCTTCAAAACTCGGAGAAGCTTATCCACTCATTGATTCATCTCCTAGACTCACTGGGTTGCTCAGAAATCCGAAATACCAGGGGATCACGATCTAACTCGCCGAGTTGGATGAACAACTCGTCGAGTCCCCCTAGTCTTAATCCATTAAGTCGCTTCCTGTTGAGTCCAACACTTCCAAACCATAGATCTGGTCCCCTAAGGCTGGAATATCACGTAAAGTTGCTAACTTTACGTCCATGCATGATGTTATGAGCTAGAAACACCGAAAACCAAGCTATAAAGGAGATCTAGGGCATGGAGAAAGGCCATGGGCTAATAAAGCTGGCAACTTTGAGCTTCATGACCTCATGTGTCTAGATCTGAAGTCACAACTTCATAATACACTCAAATCCCGACAATGACTTCAAAATGGCCCAAAAGTGACAACATACTATCCTAGATGAGGATCTAAGTGCCAAGGTATAAGCTTTATACCTCAATTGAGTCCGAAATGTAGCTTGAACTCTGGATCTACTGACTTCCTCTTGAATCTCCAGACTTTTCCTTCCTTCCCAAGCTTCAAAACCACAAAGAATAGCTCAAAACTCTTCAAAAACGGATTAGGGTTTCTTAGCTAGGGTTTGTGACGATGGAGGCAGCAAAATGAGGCCAACAAGTGGAGAATATGATGCTTAAATAGGGTGCAAAACCCTGAAATTAGGGTTTCTTTTTCCAGCTCCAACTCGCCGAGTTGGTCCTCCCCAACTCATCGAGTAGGTTTCTCAACCCGCGTCCAAACTTATTCCCATTTCTACTCGACGAGTTTGGGACCTCCAACTCGTCGAGTCCCTTTGCAAAAATGAGAATTATTAGTTAAAATACCTACCAGGAACTTGGCGTTACAACTCTCCCCCACTTATCTTGGACTTCGTCCTCGAAGTCTACTGCAATCACCTATCCCCAAAAATGACTCACGCTATAAGCTCGCAGCTCCCTAGGTTTGTCTCGAACCAACCGACGTTTCTTACGAGCACTGCCACTTGCCATCCTGAGGGTACACCCATCACCCCGCACGATCAATGGCCTTCCCAAGGCCACCGAAACTTCTATCCAGGATATACCACCCGAACCTTCAACCCTTGAAGGCTACTTCCACCTTCTGAGACCTGAAACTATCGTAACCTAGCTTCACGACGGCTCGCCCGTGCTGAAACGACTTGAAACAACTCTCCGTCTTTTTCCCCAAACAGCTAGTGAAACAATCACGACCCTTCCAACTTTGTTCATATCTCGGCCTATCCCGATCTACTAAAACCATCCTTAGAGTAATTCTTCAACCTCGGTGAAGAACGACTCCTCGATCTTTCAAGTAAAACCAATCCTTCTTCCCCATGAAATCTGAACCCTAAGGTCTCAGTGGTCTGGCTCCCTGTCAGACCCCTCAGACCGAACTGCCACCCATCATGCTGCTGCTGAAAAGGGAAACAAGTCACTGTCTATAAACGGCTACAGAACACTTATATCTGACAGAAGGCTCAGATAATCCTTCGAGTAAAAGATTCGTCCCTGCAACGGTTAGACTCATACGAGAGCTACGCAACAGAGTCAAATCAACTACTCTGAGATTATTTAATCCCACTGCGAGTGACTTATCGCTTCCCAATCACTCAGTTACTCCGTCTGTACATGGAATCCTAAAAGCACCAATACTGCCCGAAACGCTGCGCTGCCTGAAACACTTAATTGCCTGCAACATTGAACTGTCTGAAACAGTATGCTGCCTCTTGGCTGCTTTCCAAAGTCCACTGAGACCTTCCTGGTCTAAGTTCGTCTGCCAGTCATCTGAAATATCGGGTTCCTACCTGGTTACTGAGCCAAAGGCTCCCCTACAGTCGCCTCTCGCGACTTCCGAACGAAATCCTCACCTGACAATATTTGCCACCAGTTGCTTGTCACTGTGGCTCTAACGACCTCCTGATCCAACCGACGTCACCAAATCCAAGCTAAATCTGTAAACTAATTCGTGGATTTGCCATGCCCTCACTGTTGTACCCGAACTGGTGGGTGCTACGGTTCATCCCGTGATCTAACATCACTCCCATACTATCTAACATCACTCCCATACTATCTATCAACCTAGTGAAAGCTACGGCTACCCCTACAGGCTTACAACACGCTAACGCTATCCTACAACTTTATGAATGCTACGACTACACTCATACACTTACAACACTTCTATCACTACCTGACAACCTTGTGAATGCTAAGGCTACACCCGCAGACTTACAACACTTCTATCATTATCTGACAACCTTGTGAATGCTACGGCTACACCTGCAGACTTACAACACTTCTATCACTATCTGACAACCTTGTGAATGCTACAGCTACACCCGCAGAATTACAACACTTTCCATGCTGACTGACTGCTAGTGAATGTTACGGCTATCCCGCAGTCTTATAACACTTTTCATGCTAACTCAACCGCTGACCATGGTCTTTCCGCTGATTACTAATCCGAACACACCCAAAGTCAAGCATATATACACGATCTAATATCCCAAGCTGAACTCACGTCCTGACTGAAATCCATGACCTGTTTCCCGAGGCCTTCTATCCGATTCCAAGGGAAAACGTGGACCGAATGTTGGAACGTTTTTCCGTACTTCCAACTCCAATCCTCAACCTAGACGGCCCCTCGAACGCCTTTCTCCCTATCGGGGATGCGAAACTCATCCTAGTTTCATACCTATTTTTTCTCCTGGATACCTGATCGATTCTCCCCCACTTAGATTCTACTAAGTCTTCACGGCACGTGAGAACTGAAGGATTCCCAATCCTTCTTGCTTCCTAATAATCCACTGTTGAAAACTTGTGCTTACCAATGCTAGCGATCAATTACCCGTCAAAACCTAAGATCGCCAATCCTCTGGAATCTTGAAGAGTACTCTTGAAATCTGATCCAGTTCGATACTTCAATCCACCTCCCATGCTGACAACTGGAGGCCTTAATCTTCACCCTGGCTGACGAATTCTCGTTTCCACTTCCAATCTTGCAGCTCCTCTGAGCTCTAACCTAACACAACCCATGCGAAAATACAATTATCTTGAACATCCAATGACCAAACACTTATACATCTACCAGCCACAACTGACACCACCATCTTCATGCTACCAGTCCTTCCCTAGCAACTATAGTGCCATGAATTCCAAAGTTCTCTCTTAGGCAAATGTCGTTCGTACCTGAACAGATGATAAAACCGCTATATCCCATCGATACGGGTGGACTAGCTTGATGAAACTGACCACACGCCTTCTACATAGTACTCCTGACCGATCTCCACTACGAACTGAGAGAACACCGAACACCCCGATCCAGCAAAAGGGAACGACCTTTCACTAACTACCTATAATTCACGGTATGCAAATGGCATATGACAATATTTGAAGATATAA